ACTTAACATAAACTACAGTATTTCCTGTAGTAATACACTGATCATTACTGGTAACTAAACTTAACATAAACTACAGTACTTCCTGTAGTAATACACTGATCATTACTGGGAACTAAACTTAACATAAACTACAGTACTTCCTGTACTGATCATCTTAGCATCAGCCAAAGTCACACATCCATAAATGAACTGCCACAACAGTGCCACATCCACCTATAACTTTTCTTGTTTCTCACTCAGTCATGATGTACAGTGTTGTGATCTTGTGTTTTCTCAAGTACAGTAATCTCTCTAATTTACACAACAATTGGTGCATAACAATTCCAGTATCAAGAATTTTCCGGTCACTCAGGATGTCTCCCATTACTGGGCATTATTCCTTAATACCAGACTCTTTTATGTTCACCTGGATGCCTTTTCAATTAAATTTTAGTGACACACTAGGGCACCACCCCAAAAAATATAACCCTCTCGTGCTGATGACGTGATTCACTCGCGTCATATTCATGACAAGACCAACTTCACGGTGACACAAATTGAGTCACCAAACTTAAAAAATTGGTTAAAAATTCAGTTTTCAACAGAATTGTGTCAAACTTTGATGCATCATAGTAGCAAGTAAGTTCTATCAAATAAACTAATTGGCAACTCTCAATGCCCAGAGGAAGGGAAGACCGGAATGATAAATGCACAGTATTATCTCAGCAGTCAGACCGTGAGCCGCGTCCATTTAAATTTCCATTAATCCGTGCAGGCTGCCTCAACCCCTGGATTACAGTGCTTACTCTACTCCCTGAAATAATTTATTTTTAGTGTTAGAGAAGTGAAGTGATGATTGTGTAATGAAATATTTTGTTAATATTTACAGGGAAAGTGTTTAGTTTTCAAAAAACTTTACCGTATCAGGCTATACAACCTCGTTATAGTGACAATGTCTCGGAAAAGTTTCTGAAAGAGGATGATTTTCTAGACTTAAATTTTACCAGTATTGTTCTCTTCGTTATACAAGATGCAATATAATTTATATCAATATAAAACATAGGCACAAAAATAATAGAAAATTATAAAAAACAAAGATTTTACCATTTGAGAATCAGTTTTTGCTATTTTCTCAAAAACTCTTGGTCATATCAGAAATCTGGTTACTGCATTGGAAATATCATACAATTCTGCTTCTAGCAGTGGATAGTACTTAAAAGGTTGACTCAGACAATTTTGAGCTGGGAGGTTGTGAACATAGTGGTGTGTATTTTGTTTCTTATGTTTATTAGAAGTGAAGAAAAGTACCTACTGTATATACAGTACTTGTTTTCTTTTTAGAAGGCTTATGTTGCAGATCAATCAGATACGAAGCCAAAGATATCTGGTTTGTGCCAATAAAAACAAGTTTGGGGGAGAAATTGATAAAGCAAAAAAATTCACGGTGCGCTGTCTCGCCTGCCCTGGGGGCCTCAGAGGTGTGATCTTGGAACTGGAAAACTTCAAACTTATCTCACACACAAGAGTGTTAAGTGTTCCCAAACACTATACTATAATACTTCCTCTTCCTTCTAATCTTTCTTCCTCTAACTCATAAGTCTTTCAGTCATGGTCTAACCATCTCAGGGGATGGACATCACTATAGCTCCTTCATTGCCACATCTTGCACCCCCTCATCTGATACACAGATGCCAGCATGGGAGGGATGGGGGGGCAGAAGATGGCAAGAGATGCAAGGGTTCCTGCAGTCTTAACACCATGGCCTTCTCATATGTTCACAAAGCTCTCCCAAGACCAAGACCACAGTGACAGTAGTGGCTATATGGACAACAGTGGCAGAAACAACACCAGATGGCTCAGCAGCAGATCCTTACCCCTATGTCCAGCCCCCTGGACCACCTGAAAATGCTCCAAACACTCCCTCTTAGACGTTTGTTAAGTGTTTGAAGGTTATTCTTGAGTTACCATCAGTTGACACAGCTGAATACCACAACTGTTGGAGCAACACTTCACAAGCTGTTATCATTGTCAAATGGAAGGGGAAGAAGTGTCCAGCCACTGTGATGCACATCCAATCCTTCTGCCACTACCAGCAGAACTTCACCTACTGGGACATGCCTTCTGTGTTATCTGTTCATGCAGGGGACACACCAAGGCTGCCTTCTGCAGAAACATTAAACCAAGATACAGGTTCTGCTCACCAAACCATTACTACAGCCTTTTTACCCAGAAAATCAGGACACAGAGGTGGTGTGGATCTTGCAGTTACGTCAATGCTGCAATTGTCATGGTGGCCACAACAATGACTCATGGTACTGTCCTAAATGCCCGTCTGTCCCCGGTGAAAACCACCATCCCAAACCACAACCTCTCTCAGGCCACCCTAGTCAGTTGACCTCCCTGGTCCCTCTCTGTTTTTACATGTATTCTTATGGGGGAAAATTCCTTGCTTAATGTTGATTGACTTTAAGTAGCACCACTTTGGTCCCTGAAGATAGGACTACCAGATGTTGGCTCAATTCTCTCTCCCTTCCCTCTTCACAGCAGGATGACCAATGCTACCTTTGAAAGGCTCCTTAACATTAAAGTCAATAAGTTATATGCAACACGTTGCAAGAACCTAATTTGTGTGAAACATTTATACATTACTCTGTACACAAAATTAAAGTACAGGGGGCCCTCCCCCCAAATTCGCGGATTTTATTTCGCGGTCCTCTATTATTCTCGGATGACACTCTGGATGTACCCAAGAATGTCTGTGAGTAGTTTTAAAGTTACCGGCATTTTCGCGGCTGGGACAGGGAGCCATTCGTTCTAGAGACAGTAATTTCCTTAATACAGTAGGCTCTCGCCAATAACGACTTCCACAATAACGTTTTCGACAATAACGGTAGGTTACAATAGATACCCATTTTCGATAATAACGTCTGGATTCTCTTGAATAACGGAAATTTCGCGGAAAGCGTCTGACCGCATCAATGATAGCGTTTGTTTGCCGTCATGTTGATGACGTAGTTGTCCACTCCACCTCACTCTCACTCTCACACACGCTCAGTGGAATACAGCGCTGCGCCCACGTGTGAGATTTTCGCCTCTATAACCAGTGGTTGTTAGGGTCGGTGATCAATAATGGCTTCCGCATTTTTGCCTGTGGGGGCTAGGGGAGGTGGTGGAGGGAGTGATTTGGGAATGACTGGGAACTTTTAAAGTGAGGAAATTGAACTGTCCTGAGTCTACAGTGCAAAATATTAAGAGGAACTTAGAGGAAACCAAGAAGAGTATTGCGCTGGCTAAAAATATTTCGGTAGTGATGGAAATGCGAGGCGAGCTATGAATGATAAAGGCGATAGAAACAGGTTGATAGTGATAACAGAGCATTTTCTTGTGAAATGGTTAACTTGTAGAATGAAAGACAGTGCAAGTCTTAGCGGCCCTCAGATACGGAACAATCATCACACCATCCACCTCAACAACTCCCCCAAGCTAAGTGTTATATTACTCAAACTCTTTATTTTGATGATTGAATAACAATTCTTTTTATTTCAGCGAACAAAAAGTGTTAGGGGGGCTTCAAGGGGAAAAATGGGTGAAATTCTTGTGGCGGCGGCGGCACCAATAAACCCTTTTTACATGTATTTTAATGTCACACAAATAATGTTTTCGCTAATAACGGTGTTTTTCAGGCACCTATTAAACGTTATTGGTGAGAGCCTACTGTATATTGTAAATATGTGTGCGTGTGTAGACACACACAAACAAAACACATATAAATAAATAATAATGAGAAAATACTCTCACAAATAATCAGAATTTTTTTTTATTAAAAAATCTGAGTGTACCCTCAAGTCAGTGCTTTAATAAATAAAGCACGGACTTGAGGGTAGACTCAACATTTTTAGTAATTTGTTTTTTATTATTTGTGAGAGTATTTTCTCATTATTATTTATTTGTATGTTTCTACACACGCACACATATATACAATACAGGCAAAAGAAATAATTGTCCTAAGGGCAAACATATAAATGGAATATACACTCTTTGTACACAAGTAAAAATGCCCCCCCCCCCCCCCGTCAGCAAATGTTATTTGCGGATTTCCTGATTCGCAGCCATTCTGAGAACCTAACCCCCGCGAATTTGGGGGGCCCCTGTACTTAGTACACTTCTTTCTTTTCCTTTAATATATACTTGTGTGTAGTTCTTAAATTTAGTCAAAACAAACAAACAAATAATTCTAATTGTAGTTCATTATTTATCAAAGTAATTGTACTATAACTGCATTCAATTATCTTCATTTGCCAATTGTAATTGAACATGTGGAAAGTAATTGTAACTGTTCTCCTCCCGATTCTCACCTGTTTCCTCCAGATGTTGGTACAGTATCCTCTGATACATCACCAGAGTCAGCTAATATATCACCAGTGTCAGCTGTGATACACCACCAGTGTCAGCTCTGATACACCACCAGTGTCAGCTCTGATACACCACCAGTGTCAGCTCTGATACACCACCAGTGTCAGCTCTGATACACCACCAGTGTCAGCTCTGATACACCACCAGTGTCAGCTCTGATACACCACCAGTGTCAGCTCTGATACACCACCAGTGTCAGCTCTGATACACCACCAGTGTCAGCTCTGATACATCACCAGTGTCAGCTCTGATACACCACCAGTGTCAGCTCTGATACATCACCAGTGTCAGCTGATACACCACCAGTGTCAGCTCTGATACATCACCAGTGTCAGCTCTGATACACCACCAGTGTCAGCTCTGATACACCACCAGTGTCAGCTCTGATACACCACCAGTGTCAGCTCTGATACATCACCAGTGTCAGCTCTGATACATCACCAGTGTCAGCTCTGATACACCACCAGTGTCAGCTCTGATACACTACCAATGTCAGCTCTGATACACTACCAATGTCAGCTCTGATACAACTTTTTGTATACAAATGTGAAGGACTAAAGATAATAAGGAGAGCCTTACACACTCCTGTCCTGTCATCTTGTTCTTACCAGCTATTCTACAGTGGATGGAATAATGTCCCTCTGTTAGGAGTGGTTCAGGCAGGTCAGCCAGAAAGCTTTTGAGGACTGAAGCACAGTCATGGGCAGAGTACGTGCCATAATCGAGGTTCAGGTCACCGCCGGCGTTGAGCAGAGCTTTTAATTCCTGTTGTCGACTCAAACTTCCACTCTTTCTGAACAACCCCTCCTGAGTGATGTCTGTAAAGATAATATTTAAAGATAGAGAGAAGATCGCTGTCCCTCATTATCTCAAGATGGGAGAAGCAACATTAAAAAGAGGTAAGTGGGAGTGGAGAACCTGACAAGACAAATACTTTTGACAAATATTAACTAAAACATACAAAATAACAAATTCACTCCATTTTTCATAAAACTTTCTTTGTCAAGATCCACTTGATAAAAATTCAGTAATGTAGATACACTGGAACACTGTCTTTAACACTCTTGGGATTTTCATATGCAAATTTGCATATGAACTCAAATATTACAATAAAATAATTTTATGTTTGCATATGAATGGCAGATATGCAAGAAGCACATTTGGCAGCATCAGTGTGATCTGGCACCTGTGTAGACTGCCTCTAAGGTTACGACAGTGACCACACCAGTTGCCCTTTGTGGTTCAACGACACAGGATGTAACCTTGACCTACATTTCCCACCATTTTTTCGTGACTTGTGCCTATTTCTCGTACATCACAGTGATTTAATTTATTCATAACAGTGTTGTGATATTTTTTAACCATATCTCGTGTTGCTGGTGAAGGTGGAGGGGTGGGAAAACGTATAAAGGAAAAGACCACAATACGATACAGTAGTGTGGTGCCTACTGAGGCTTCTCCCAGTGTCCCTGGCCCTCCTAGTGCAAGTGATCGTTTGTCTGGCCCTTCAGCAAGCAGTCCTAGTCTGAAAGGAACTGCCCGGCATGTTGTTGTGACAAAAATAAAAGAAAATAAAAATGCTACACGTGTGGCATCTCAGCCATCGCAGCACGGCTTACCTCGTGACCACTCATCTCCCTCACAAGTGCGCACTACCCACTACCCTTACCTCGTGACCACTCATCTCCCTCACAAGTGCGAACTACCCACTACCCTTACCTCGTGACCACTCATCTCCCTCACAAGTGCGCACTACCCACTACCCTTACCTCGTGACCACTCATCTCCCTCACAAGTGCGCACTACCCACTACCCTTACCTCGTGACCACTCATCTCCCTCACAAGTGCGCACTACCCACTACCCTTACCTCGTGACCACTCATCTCCCTCACAAGTCGCTACCCACTACCCTTACCTCGTGACCACTCATCTCCCTCACAAGTCACCCACTACCCTTACCTCGTGACCCTCATCTCCCTCACAAGTCACTACCACTACCCTTACCTCGTGACCACTCATCTCCCTCACAAGTGAGCACTACCCTACCCTTACCTCGTGACCACTCATCTCCCTCACAAGTCGCACCCACTACCACCTGTGACCACTCATCTCCCTCACAAGTCTTTTACCCACTACCCTACCTAGTGACCACTCATCTCCCTCACAAGTGAGCACTACCCACTACCCTTACCTCGTGACCACTCATCTCCCTCACAAGTGCGCACTACCCACTACCCTTCCCTCGTGACCACTCATCTCCCTCACAAGTGCGCACTACCCACTACCCTTACCTCGTGACCACTCATCTCCCTCACAAGTGCGCACTACCCACTACCCGTACTCCCACTGAAACTAGATTTAGTCGCCTTATTCAGACTAAGTATGGCACTGTGGGCACAGAAGAGGGGGAGAGGGGAGGAACATCCCCAAGTGCTCCAACATCTAACAACATGTAAGTACAGAAATTCATTTATTTTCATAAAAATATATATATACAGTAGTATATATTTTAAATTTTCATGCATTACATTTAGCCAATAATTTACCATTATTATTTCATATGAATTTTGAAAATAAAAAGCATTTATAAACACATTGTGTATAATTTATGTGAAAAATATAGAAACTTTGAGCGAGGAATATTCGCCTATGGGAGCTTGAGTGGCACCCATGCACTACAAATAGTGTTATACTTGCGTTTACATATAGATTTAATCATTTTGCTGTGATTACCTATATAAAACTAAACTATTAGTAGATAATGTATTTACAATGCTAATGCAACAAACTGGACCTTTTCATCTCCAATAGTAAGCTTGCTATGACTCATATATGCAATCATCTTTTGTGCTTGAAGAGAAAAAAATTAATTATCTGTACTTGGCCTGGACGTGCTCATTACAACGCACAATTTATACCAATACAGTATTACTTTGTGAAACATTAATTTTTCACAACTTTTCTGCGATTTTTTTTTTGCTAAATATGTACACTTTATAATGGAATAAAGTTCAGGTTGCAATCACATTAAATGACAAAGGTATACAGTAAAGTGATGTACTTAATAAACATTTTCATTAAGCGTAAAATTTTTTTTTTTTTTCTACTCGCACTTACAGTATGTATAAAAATAACCATTTTATCATGATTACTTATATAAGGCTATTTGTAGATAATTTATTTACAGTGTTAATGCAACAAACCCCATCTTTTTATCTCAACCTATAGCAAGCTCGCTATGACTCATAACATACAATTATCTCTTATGTGGTTCAGTCAAGTGAGGTGAGGTGAGTATCCAGCCAGACCCCGAGCGTCTTGCCGGAGTGCACCTGACTAAACCCAAGAGTGTTAATGACTTCTGGCATGCCAGGTGAGCATCTAATACTTGTACTGTACTGTATAATCTTGTATTGTACTGTACTGTACTGTACTGTACAGGCCGTAATGGCCTTAAAATGGTGAGAAGGAGGATGATAATGTTGAGCATAATTTACAGATGGGGAATGGGAACATGGACAAGAGCATCTGAAAGGAGAGTCTACACCAGTGTACTAATACCATGGTGTGAGGAGGCTGTACATGAATGAACCAATTGTATGCCACAGTTTAGTAGGTAAACATCATAAAGTATTGATGATACATACTATAGTGTTCGTTGAGGTAGTGTATCAGCTGGAAGGCTTGGCAAACACCCTCTTGTGTTAGTGGTGCGCCCTCCATTACTCCTTTGTTTGGCCCGGCAACACGACCCAGCTTTCTCATTAGTGGTGTCAACTGCCATCGTCGACTTGAACTTTGTTCGTTTGTTTTTCCATCACACCTGTAAGAGAAAACTTGTATATGTACATACCTTAAAATAACCTCCCAGTTTAAGCAATCAACTGATTTTTGAACTACAGTATTCCAATTCCTTTGTGCACTGCCCTGATGTAATTATTAATTTCAGGAATGGTCAAAGGAATGAATGCTGAAAGTCAATGTTACAAGATACAAGTGGATACACCTTGGTTGGTCATAGCAATTTAGCAGGTAGGTGTATCACATGTGCCAATGGGGCAAAGACACTTTATTAATTTAAACTAAATGGTAGAAGGACCGAGGTGTTTATTCTGACAACAAACTGAAGTTCTCATAATATTGTGAGAAGGTAAATCTTGTTAATAAAATACTGTAGTAGGACTTTAAGAACATCCTACATACTGTATACAGTACTCAGATTGTCTGTCCCTCATGAGGTTTTTCAAAAGTATGGTGTCCATAGCTTTAGTACATCAGGGTCAGGGACCAAAGTTGTGAGACTTAAAGGCAAACAACATTAGGTGAGGAATTTTCCCCCATAAAACTACATGTAAACACCGGGGAGAGGGACCGTAAGAGCATTTACAGCGCCGATGACATACAAATGAGACAATCCATACTTCGCTTTAACGACTAATTGGTACCATGAAAATGGTAGTTAAAGTAAAAATGGTTAATGTGGTGAGTATAGTTCACATGCTGAATGAGTCAATTGGTACCAGCCCTTGGACACTTTCACCCCCCTATAAACCCACAAAAAATTACAGCCACTTATTCACACACATTAATACTGCATGTAGAGTTAATAACTAATAATAACTAACCCTTAGACACTCACTGAACTGCTTAACGAGGCTGTTTGTTGTCATCTGAGGCAGGGGAGTGGTGTTAGTGCACCCCCTGCCCCCACACTGTGCTGCTTCCCCACCACCACCACCAACTGATCCTTCAGTCTCAAAACCAATAAGTCTAGTGGTATATCATCTAACAGATCACACACTTCACCACACCGCAGGTAGAGAGGTTACACCACACAGTCACAGATAAGAGAGTAGGTTACACCACACAGTCACAGATAAGAGAGTAGGTTACACCACACGGTCACAGATAAGAGAGTAGGTTACACCACACAGTCACAGATAAGAGAGTAGGTTACACCACAGTCACAGATAAGAGAGTAGGTTACACCACACAGTCACAGATAAGAGAGTAGGTTACACCACAGTCACAGATAAGAGAGTAGGTTACACCACAGTCACAGATAAGAGAGTAGGTTACACCACAGTCACAGATAAGAGAGTAGGTTACACCACAGTCACAGATAAGAGAGTAGGTTACACCACACAGTCACAGATAGAGTAGGTTACACCACACAGTCACAGATAGGTAGTGTTACACCACACAGTCACAGATAAGAGAGTAGGTTACACCACACAGTCACAGATAAAGTAGGTTACCACACAGTCTGAATAAGAGTAGGTTACACCACACAGTCACAGATAAGAGAGTAGGTTACACCACACAGTCACAGATAAGAGAGTAGGTTACACAACACAGCCACAGATAAGAGAGTAGGTTACACCACACAGTCACAGATAAGAGAGTAGGTTACACCACACAGTCACAGATAAGAGAGTAGGTTACACCACACAGTCACAGATAAGAGAGTAGGTTACACCACACAGTCACAGATAAGAGAGTAGGTTATGCAACACAGCCACAGATAAGAGAGTAGGTTACACCACACAGTCACAGATAAGAGAGTAGGTTACACCCCACAGTCACAGATAAGAGAGCAGGTTACACAACACAGTCACAGATAAGAGTAGGTTACACCCCACAGTCACAGATAAGAGAGTAGGTTACACCACACAGTCACAGATAAAGAGAGTAGGTTACGCCACACACAGTCTCACAGATAAGAGAGTAGGTTACACCACACAGTCACAGATATGAGAGTAGGTTACACCACACAGTCACAGATATGAGAGTAGGTTACACCACAGTCACAGATAAAGAGAGTAGGTTTACACCACACGGTCACAGATAAGAGTAGGTTACACCACACAGTCACAGATAAGAGAGTAGGTTACACCACAGTCACAGATAAGAGAGAGTAGGTTACACCACACAGTCACAGATAAGAGAGTAGGAGTTTACACCACACAGTCACAGATAAGAGAGTAGGTTACACCACACAGTCACAGATAAAGAGTAGGTTACACCACACAGTCTGAATAAAGAGAGTAGGTTACACCACACAGTCACAGATAAGAGAGAGTAGGTTACACCACACAGTCACAGATAAGAGAGTAGGTTACTACACAGTCACAGATAAAGAGAGTAGAGTTACACCACACAGTCACAGATAAGAGAGTAGGTTACACACCACACAGTCACAGATATGAGAGTAGGTTACACCAGTCACAGATAAGAGAAGTAGAGTTACCACACACAGTCACAGATAAAAGAGTAGAGTTTACACACACAGTCACAGATAAAGAGAGTAGGTTACACCACAGTCACAGATAAAGAGTAGGTTACACCACACACAGTCACAGATAAGAAAGTAGGTTACACCACACAGTCACAGATAAGAGAGTAGGTTACCTTACAGTCACAGATAAGAGAGAGTAGATTACACCACACAGTGCACAGATAAGAGAGTAGGTTACACCACACAGTCACAGATAAGAGTAGGGTTACAGTCACAGATAAGAGAGTAGGATTACCACAGTCACAGATAAGAGTAAGGTTACACCACACAGTCACAGATAAGAGTAGGTTACACCACGTGCAGACAAGAGAGTAGGATTTAACCACAGTCACAGATAAAGTAGGTTACACCACACAGTCACAGATAAGAGAGTAGAGTTACACCACACAGTCACAGATAAGAGTAGGATTACACCACAGTCACAGATAAGAGAGTAAGGATTTACACCACACAGTCACAGATAAGAGGAGTAGGTTACACCACACAGTCACAGATAAGAGAGTAGGTTACACAACACAGTCACAGATAAGAGAGTAGGTTACACCACACAGAGTCACAGATAAAGTAGGATTTACCACACACAGTCACAGATAAGAGTAGAGTTACACCACACAGTCACAGATAAAGAAGTGATTTACACACCACAGTCACAGATAAAGAGTAGGTTACACCACACAGTCACAGATAAGAGAGAGTAGGTTACCACACAGTCTGTGAATAGAAGTAGGTTACACAACACAGTCTGAAAGAGAGTAGGTTACACCACACAGTCACAGATAAAGTAGGTTACACCACAGTCACAGATAAGAGAGTAGGTTACACAACACAGTCACAGATAAGAGAGTAGGTTACACAGTCACAGATAAGAGTAGGTTTACACCACACAGTCACAGATAAGAGGTAGGTTACACCACACACAGTCACAGATAAGAGAGTAGGTTTACACAACAGTCACAGATAAGAGTAGGTTACACCACACAGTCACAGATAAGAAAGTAGGTTACACCACACGGTAACAGATAAAGTAGGTTACACCACACAGTCACAGATAAGAGTAGGTTACACCACACAGTCACAGATAAAGTGAGTTACACCACAGTCTGAATAAGAGAGTAGGTTACACCACACAGTCACAGATAAGAGAGTAGGTTACACAACACAGTCACAGATAAAGTAGGTTACACCACACAGTCACAGATAAGGGAGTAGGTTACACCACACAGTCACAGATAAGAGAGTAAGGATTTACACCACACAGTCACAGATAAAGAGAGAGTAGGTTACACCACACAGTCACAGATAAAGTAGGTTACACACACAGTCACAGATAAAGAGAGTAGGTTACAACACAGTCTGAATGAAGGTAGGTTACACCACACACAGTCACAGATAAAGAGTAGAGTTACACCACACAGTCTGAATAGAGTAAGGTTACACCACACAGTCACAGATAAAGAGTAGGTTACACAACAGTCACAGATAGAGTAGGTTACACCACACAGTCACAGATAAGAGAGAGTAGGTTACACCACAGTCACAGATAAGAGAGTAGGTTACACCACACAGTCACAGATAAGAGAGTAGGTTACACCACACAGTCACAGATAAGAGAGTAGGTTACACCACAGTCACAGATAAGAGAGTAGGTTACACAACACAGTCACAGATAAGAGAGTAGGTTACACCACACAGTCACAGATAAGGGAGTAGGTTACACCACACAGTCACAGATAAGAGAGTAGGTTACACCACACAGTCACAGATAAGAGAGTAGGTTACACAACACAGCCACAGATAAGAGAGTAGGTTACACCACACAGTCACAGATAAGAGAGTAAGTTACACCACACAGTCACAGATAAGAGAGTAGGTTACACCACACCTCCCGTTCACACGCTCTGATCAAAACAAACCACCCTGCTCGCTGACGTCATCAAGATGGCCGCTCAGTTACTATTAACTTGCACTACTGATAGTTATTGTGTTGAGGTGTCACATTTGGTGACTGTGATGAATCGTTAATGTGAAACTCGTTAAAGTTACGTTAAAGTTAAGTATGTACTGTAATAAGATGGGAATAGGGACCAGATTTTTAAGTTTTTTTTTACTTATAGAATATAAAAAGTATTTGTAATATTATTAACCCTCATGCATCATGATGCAAATCATTGGGGAGGACTAACGTGAATCACGTTATTAAACTTTTTAACAATTTGCCAAACCAAGTTTTCAAGATAAGTGCGCCAAACTTTCGTGCATCACAGAGATCTTGCGTGGGTGGAGTTCCGCTGTCCATGAGTTTTCTCCAGTCGGCCGTGATATAGCATTTGTGTCTTTGTCTTCTCTCCCATCCTCCCCATAATTAGTTGCAGCAAAATTCCAAAGCCACCATTGGAAAGATCATAAAATTCCACTTCTCTAACAATGATAAAACCTTGGTAGGTTTGTGAGAAAATATCCGGAATATGTTGCTGGGAAAACATTTTTTCTTTATTCAGAGAGAAAAAATATAGTCTTAGTCTCGT